AATTAGAATTTGAATTTACTAAATTTGTTGGAATGGAGAAAGCTAGGTGGTCATAGAGGGGAGATGATTACAAGATAAAAATTTTATTGCCAACCAGTTGTTTTAAATTGATAGAGGCAATAGAAATAAATGTTCAATTACAAAAAGGCGAAGCAAATTTAAAAACAATTAACTATTCTTGAAAAATGTATTGAAATACTCTGACAAATCAAAAATTATTAAAAACAAAAAAACCTGAATTTTATAAATGGCAGATAAATAGGGAGCTCTGGTGGCCGAGTAGCATGAAGCTGCACTGCAATGCCAGATGTACATGGTTTGAATCTACCAGATGCTCTGCTGGAGAAGGAGGGACAATCTCCTCCTGTACCAGTCAGATCCGATTTGACAGTACAAACACAACAAATAATAAAATAAAATTTTTTAAAAAAAGGAAGATAGAGATGTCTTTGAAACATATCCTAAGGAAATAATCTGAAATGTCGAGAATATTTGCACATAATTCATTGTAGCATTATTTACAATGGAAAATAATGCAGCCCTATAGTCGAAGAATGCATGTTAGATTTTTATGTGTTATAGAAGTCATTTAAAGAGACATTTACTAAAATGAAGAGATTATCAATGTTAAACAAAGAAAGCAAAATATAAAATTATTTTTTAAATATGTGTATAATTATATTGAAAAATTACTATTTCCAATATAGTGTTAAAATAAGGCAAGATTTAACAGAATTTGAGTTGATAATAAAATTATGTAAAAAAAAAAACCAATTTTCCTGATTTCTTTTCTCTTTTGATATTCTGTGCTATGAATATTTTTATAGTGATCTTTTATTACTGGTTAAAATGAAATAATAATTCTGGAGATTGATAACTAAGTTTGAACAAATTAATCAAAGCTGTCTTAACTTCAAATTTGTTTTTCTTAGGATAGTTTAGATTCATGTAAACTTTGCATATTGAAAAAGAATGTATTTCTTGAATACTTTCAATTATTTAGCATTAACTTGAGTAGTTGATATTAACATTCTTCTATTTCTCATTAACCTTTCTCAACTTTTTAAAAATCTTTCAGGAGCAGTACCGTTTTTGCTATGATGTAGCTTTGGAGTACCTGGAATCATCGTAGTTGGGTGAGACTTGTAAAAGTTCATCCCAGCAGAAACCTGTTCATCTGTTTTACCAGCAGTTGTACCTGTTACACCTGTGTAGAAAGATTTTGATGTGGGGGGTGGGGAACTTTTACATTCAAGAAGTGAAAGTATTTTTCTTATGAAGTTGTGTATCTTAATAAAAAGGACTGAATTAGTTTCTATGACTGTATTACAGCACCAACATTTTGTGCCACATAAGTTATATTTCATTCAAACCAGATTCAGAGAACCTGGTCAGATGAGAAATTATCAGTGTTTGTACAATGAATACACAGCCTTTTCTCTCCTGATTTCAGTAAAGCAACCACCACATGTTGCATGAGTTAATTTTTCCTATGCAACATTTTTCTTCCACCCCCCCCCCTTTTTTTTTAGATAAATGATGTTACATCTTTAAGGAAGAAGAAAAGACAAGCTGTGCAAATTCATAGTAAATTTCTTTTTTTTATATATGTCTCAAGTATAGCAGATCTCTCTATAAATATATAAATATAAATAACTGGCTTATTTTCTTTTAACGTGTAATGATGGCTGGATCATTTAAAGTTCTTTTTAGAAAATAACATAAGCCAAAGACTCAAGTGTAAATATGTCTATATGGAGAAAGCACATTATATTTATTGGTTACTCGCATTCCTTTTTGATGGTTTAAAAAAACTACCACCACACAGTCAAATTCTTCCCCTCACAAAGCTTTTTCTTTAGCTGAAATTGATTGTAAATGATTTTTGTAGGTTATTTTTTGTATGTTTTGGTGGAAGTAGAGGGCAAACTTTTTATTCACAAACCAGGAAGTTCTTTATAGTGATTTTCTTGTGTACCTGCTTGTGAATTACACTTAGGTAATCACCTTGGCAATTGGGTCTTTTAATAGAGGACCAAATTAAAAAGTTGCTGAAAATGTCTAGTTTTTTCAGAGTTTCATGCGGTAAATAATGGTTTGGTGATCACATATGAGAAATGTATATTTTCAAAGGACTTGCTGATAACTGAATTGCACAACAGTGAACATAGCCTTTAGGTATTGTTTCAATTTTAAAGGAATCAATATTCTAAGCCTGTGGGCAAAGCACTGGTCAAGAAAACAAGATGGCAGGGTTTATGCTTTCAGGGTCAAGTTTTAGCAAACTGTAAACTGTCAAGGTGATAAGAATGTTTTGTTTGATGTTTACATGCACAAGCTTTGGGTTCTGCTCGTCATAAGCGTGAACAAATCAATGTCAGATACCTGTTTTGTGCATTGTCACGGGATCCCCAAGTGAACTTTTCTACATGTGGTCTTGTTCACATGCCCTGTGTAGCTGTAACTTCACATCATCCTCATCATCAGCTTGCAGTTTGTTATTGACTAAAGCATTCCAGTATCCTCTTTCTAGATTGCCAGTACATGACATGGTGCTTATAAAGATTTCAAGTAGGAGTGAAATAAAGTTTTTATAATTACAACGATTACCATTTGCACATTATTTTCTGCTCTTAATTTTCATGCTTCGGCTCCCAAATAATCTATTTCTTCATTCATTGGCTAGACCATGACATTGCACACAGGGGGTGTTAGGCTGCTAACTGAAAGATTGGAGGTCCAAACCCACTCAGTAGTGCCAGTAAAGAGATTTCTTGAAGCTTACTTCCACAAAGAAGATGGTCAGGAAAACCTAACAGGGCTAATTCTTCTCTTTAACACGTGAGATCACCATGACTCAGAATTGACTCAATGGCAATGAGTATTTTTAAATTTGTGTTGTTTATGGCTTTGTTTTCCATATACTCACCAAAATAAGTATATCACAGAAATGGTATTAGAAACAAAACAAATGTCCAAACACTAGTTTTCATCTTGGGTATTTTTAAAAAATGAAATGCCATCAAGTCCAGGTAGGTAAAAGAAAAGGAAAGTAATAAACAATTTCTTTTTCTCTGCATGTGTTTTCTATGTATATATTCCACTATCTTTTTATGACACATACACATCTTTACTTCTTCCATAATCATAAATTTGACAAATAGTAATAATTACCTGGCTTGACAGATAAAGAGACTGAAACTAATGAGAAGGTAAATTACTTTTCAGCAAATTTTAGTCTCATTTAGCAGCTCACTCTTCCACTGAAGTCCTTGTCATTTTGACAAAGAAAATTTGCCACTTCAATCTTACATGTCCTCATGAATTGAGTTCCTCACAAACATATTCAACTCTCATTTGCTCTCTATATTATTAGACCATTTGTAAATCTCATTAGTAAGAATTCGGCCTCTTTTTTTAAAAAAAAAAAAAAAAAGAGTAAGTTTCTTCAAAGTGCAGAAGTGTTTAACAAAGAATCCACTGGAATTCACCTAAGTGTAACCAATATTTCATCACTTAGTCATGTTTACAATGCTGTTAAGCTGAGGTTTCTGCATTCTTACATGACCTGATTCCATTCCTGCTAATGTGTTGACCACACACAATACCAAAATTCCCACAAATACAGCCTTCCAGAAGGCTACGGAACTTCCAAATTTAAACAAAGGATCGAACAAGTCAGACTTCTCTCTTCGACAAATAAAAATGGCTTTCTTTTTTTTTTTTTTTTAATTTGGGGAACACAGAAACAAACTCACCATGAGATGATGGAGTGAAAGAATGGTGCCTAAATATGTATCTCTCCAAAATGCATATTCAAGAAGTCATACGTTCTATCCTTGTGCTGATCTCTATCAGAGTTCCATATCTGGCCATTCCATATCCAGCTCTATCCTAAGCAGATGTCCTAGCAGAGCTCAAAATGTAGTCCTATGTTTTTATAGTTGAAGTCCTCTGATAGCTATAAAGCTATTCCTGCTTTGGCTATCATAAAAATATAATTTGTAGAATCCTTTCCTTGTATGGAAATGCTAGGAGTACTAGGATCAGAGACATAAAAAAGGAATTATGCATTTTAATCAAGTACTTTTGAAATTCTTACATTCTTCTTAAGCAGCCTAGATGGTTTCTATACTTAGTCCTTGTCGTCAGGTGTCACTTATACAGTATTCTGTGAACCACAGTTTGCAAAGTTGGTCTATTCTACACAAACCTCATGACCTCTACCGTGCTCAGCCATTATTGTGGTTACTGTGTCAGTCAACCTAGCTTAGGGTCTTTCTTTTGCTGACCTGCAACCATTCATATATAGCATGATATCTTTTTCTATGGACAGCCCATTGTTACTGTTATGTCTGTCCACTTTCTACCTTTTCAAGCATGATGTCTTTTTCCAAGGGCTCGTCCATCCTGAAACAAATTTTCACCATCCTTGACTATAAGGACCATCCTGGTTACACATCCTTTATGATATAATTGTTTGGATTTTTTCTGTGGTCCATGGGATGGTCAGGATTCCTCCAATGCTACAACTCAAAGACATCAAGACTTCCGTCATCCTTAGCCATTGTCTAACTTTCAGATGCATAGCAAGTAATTGAATGGACCATGGATTGGACTGGGTCTATCTTAGTCTTTAAAGGGACTTCATTGCTCCTGAGCATGGTGAAGTCCTTGACAGTAGATTTTTCCCACTTTGCAACACTTCCTTTGATTTTTTTCACATCCGATACCAAGGATGGTGGTGTTTGTGAATCTCAGTAAAATTAATTATTGACAACTTCAATAATTTCTTCAGCTATCATGATGTGGCCTATCGGCCCAGTTGTGAGGATTTTTGTTTACTTGATGTTGAGATGTAATCACTGTTGAAGGTTGTTGATTGTCGCTTAACTAAAATAGAAGATAACCTATTAACCTGTGAAGAATGTTTTTTGAAATTTGCCTTGCTTTTTATCGAGTGACCATGTATATTTATACTTCATTTTTATGCCCTTTCCCGTGTACTCTTTTTAAATAAGAAAAAAGTTTGAAATTATAACTTTGTCCCACTCACAGAATATTGGTAGAATATTGGTTACTTTTTACTCTATAAAATGTTTCTCTAAGCAGAAACTAGACATCCTTCTTATACATAGTTCAGTCTTTTAACAAATACCATTATGTAATTTAGAGGAATAGGATGTTTTATTCAACACTATCCCAGGTGAATATAGACAGCTGTATGGCCTTAAATAAGTTCTCCTTGATGTTTATCTCTGAAGAATCCCTACAGCATAGATAGGTTTGGAGTAGCAGAGAGATTATCTGAATTTGTTCCCAATTCTGGTTTATTCAACAGTCTGGAGAGTTTTACAATATTACTTCTAAATACAACAAGGAAAAGTTCTGCCTTGGGATCTACTTTTAAGCTTTAAGTGACTTCTAGAATATAAATTGTCCAAAAATCAATGGAAATGTGTAGATTTAAGATGACTAAACTTCCATCTTCCTCAAACACAAAAATACTGTTGTTATTGACTCCCAAGAGACAACTGGATTCTTTTAAATCATTTAAGAAAACATAAGGTCCCTGTAGAATATGTGAAAGTTCCTTAATGTTAAAATCTGCCCACAGTAAGAAAGGCAAGAGGGATTTTATGACAAGTATCATCTCTCATAATGCATTTGCTAATTGAAGAAAATTGTGTGTAATATCTAAGATTTAACACACACACACACACACACTGGTGCTGATTTCTTTTGATGCGGTATTAGTCGTCACATGGTTTGATCTGTGTTGATACAAGATGCTAGGTAAGCTACTACTCAAGCTGACACCATATACAGCAGAAAAAAGTGCTACCCTTTGAGCTACATTTGAGCCCATTTTTGCAGACACTATCTCAGTGAAAGTAATCCTCTTTTTCACCTACCCTTTACTTTATCAAGCTTGATTCAAAGTCTAACCGTCCTTGCTCCTAAGAAGCATTCTAACTGTATTTCTTCCAAAATAGTTTTGTTCATTCTGGAAGTCAGTGGTATATTCAATATTTTACTATAATTTGAAGGCAACAATATTTTGGTCTGCCTCATTCATTGTCCAGCTTTTATCTGCATCCAAAATTATGGAATAAAATTTTGAAACTATCAAACAAAAAATAAATAAAATGTAGAATGCAAAGGAGAAGAATACATAAACTGACTCATCAACAAGATCTTACATAGAAATTATTTTTCTCTATAGTGATAAAGAGAATACAGAACTTGAGCTAAGAAATACAATATTCATCGCAATAGTTAATCACAAGATTGAATACTTGGGAGTAAATCTAACTAGAAACACAAAGGATCTATTCAAATAAAATTGCAAAACATTACAACAAGAAACAAAAAGAGACCTAGAGAAATGGAAGAATATACCTTGCTCTTGGATAGGAAGACTCAATATTGTGAAAATAACAATTCTACCAAAGGCAATCTACACATTCAATGCAATCCCAATACAAATACAAATTACTCTCTTTAATGAGATGAAAAAGGCAAGCAAAGTACTCCTTAAAAAAGAGAAACAAGGTAGGAGGCATCTCACTCCCTGATTTCAAATTCTACTACAGTGCCATGGTGGTCAAGACAATGTGGTACTGGTACAATAACAGACACATAGATCAATGGAATAGAATTCAGAACCCAGAAATCAGCCCATCTACATAAGGTAAACTGATTTTTGACAAGGAGATGAAATCAGTTAAGTAGGGAAATGATAGCCTTTTTAACAAATGGTGTTGGCAAAACTGGAAAATTATCTGCAGTTTGAGAAAACTCAAACAAGACTTATACCTCACATTGTACCCAAAAACCAACTCAAAGTGGATCAAGGACCTAGGACTAAAACCAAGGCCTCTGAACCTCATCAGACAAAAGCTTGGAAGAACTCTAGAAGCCCTAATCCACAAAATGAACAGTCTTGCAAGCATCCTGAAAAAGCTACAACCAGGAGAGGATAAAATAGATGAATGGGACCATCTAAGAATCAAATCCCTATGCATATTCAAAAACTTCTCCAACAGAGTAAAAACGAAAGCACAGACTGAGGAGGAATATTTGGTAATGACATGTGTAATAAAGGAATTATATCTAGATTTTATAGAATACTCGAGCACCACAATAAGATAAACAACCTAATAGCAAAATGGGCACAGTATATGAATAGACACTTCACCAAAGAAAACACTCAGATGGCAAACAAATACATAAAGAAATGTTCAAAATCCCTAGTTCTAAGAGAAATGCAAATCAAAATAACTATGAGCTATCATCTCAACCCAGTAACAGTAGCAAAATTCAACAGAGCTGGAACTCTTATTCACTGTTGGTGGGAGTGTAAACTGCTATGGAAGGCAGTATGGTGTTTTCTCAAAAAGTTGGAAATAGACCATTTGACCCAGCAATTCCACTACTTGGAATATACTGTAAACAAACCAGAACTGCCACCCAAGTAGACATATGCACATCCATGTTTATCACTGTGTTGTTCACAATAGCAAAGAGATGGAAACAATGCAAGTGCCTATCAGCAAACAAATGGATTGAGAAGCTATGGTATAGTCACCCAATGGAATACT